GCTGGGTCAAATGGTATTTCTATTTGAAGCTTTCTGAGAAAGTGCCATGCAGCCTTCCATAGCGGTGGCACCATTTTACATTCCCACCAACAATGAATAAGGGTTCCAGTTTCTCTACAACCTCTCTAATATTTGTTGTTTGCTCTTCTGTTAAACTCTGCTATTCTTACTGGGGTGAGATAATATCTCCTAGTTGTTTTGATTTGCATCTCTCTTAGGGCTAGGGATTTTGAACATTTCTTCATGTGCTTGTTTGCCATCTGAATGTCTTCTTTGATGAAATGTCTGTTCACATCCTGTGCCCATTTTTCAGTTGGTTTATTTACTTTCTCTTGTTGTGGAAAGTAAAAGTTTTGAAGCCCCATCTCACCTACTTTGGGCATGTGGTCAAGAGGGACCAGTCCTTGGAGAAGGCCATCATGCTTGGAAGGGTGGAGGGACAGAGCAGAAAAGGAAGACCCCGGATGAGATGGATTGACACAGTGACCGGGGTGATGGGGGTAGGTGTGTCGGAGTCAGTGAGACTGGCTCAGGATATGGCAGAGGTGAGAGCTATTGTATCCAGAGTTGCTATGAGTTGTGGGCAAGAAGTTGCACTACAATCCCAAAGGCACACGGTTCAAATCCACCAGCTGCTTGACTGGGAAAGGATGAGTAACCTCCTCCCATGCGATTAACAGCCTCTGAAAACCCTCTGCAGGGTCAGCTATGGTCCGTTCCAACTTGACGGTACACAACAACAGTGCTTTACTGAGCTCTGGTGACCGAGTGGTAAGAACCGCACTGCTGTCTCAAAGGCGCTCAGTTCAAGTACCAGCTGCTCCATGAAGAAGGGCCGGTCTCCTCCTCTGCAATTAACTGTCTCTGAAAACCCAACGGAGAGTCGACTGTGGGCTGGTTCCAACTCAACAGTACACAACAAGACTCGAAAATATGAGACAGCATGAAAACAGAGGTTAAAAAAAATAAAAACAGAGGTTAAAAAGAGACGGAAAAATCACAGGGAAAACATTACAAAATCTGAAGACATTTTAGATGTCCCAGTGAAGAAATAGTTAATGGATTCTTTCAGCAAAAATACAACCACATATCATAGGTCATGTTGGAAAGCAGTAACAGTAATTCGGTTGGAAGACCTAAGTGAAAGGCTGGGGGGTTGAGTCTTTCTCGTCAGTCGCCCTGTGTAAGTTACAGCATCTGAAAACCCACTGCGGAGTCAGCTGCAGCTCTAGCTTCACAAGAAAGTATGAGTGTGAGTGAGTTCTGTCTATCCAGAGAACCCCAAGACACTCCTCCTTAAATGTTAATTTCTTAGCTGCTTTTGAAGGGGTTGAGACCCAGCCTGGCTGGCTGTTACGACTGTTTTATCCTCTTTTATTCAAGGTTATTTCCCCAATACAGCAGCACACACTGATCTAAGCATGCAATGAGGTCATCAGGGAGGCCGGGAGACACCCCCCAGTGATGAAAGGCAACCGGGGTCCTTTGGTGGACAGAAGAGCTGGGCAGGATTATGCTATTTGCCCTAGAAGTAGCACCGCTTCAGATGCAAACCAGAAAATGAGACGAGAGGAAGTCAAAGTCACATTCTCACATGGTGCCTTTTTATTTCCAAACCTAATTCAAAACAGAAAAATGCTGAATTTTCCACACTGGGTTTTCATTTTAGAAAATATATTTGCTACTAAAATACTTCATAAAATCCTCCTCCCTGTTTTTTTGTGGGAAATGAGCAAAAAATCCAAAGTTAAAAGGTCATGCATAAAATATTTTATCTAGTAAGATAATTCTACAATAATCTTAAATTCTTCACACAGAGATGCCAAAACACTGAAAGTAATTCACACTCCACTCACTGTATTTTGTAGTACTTCACTTCAAGGTTGATTTTTTTTTCTTCATATATTTGCATTCATATTTCACAGACAACCACAGTTTTAATAAAAGATATCAATCTTTTCATACAAGGGGAAAACAAAACAGCTATAACACTAAAAAATATAATCATCAGTCTGCAGTGCATAAACTTTTTTAAAAATTACAAATAAAATCTGGGGAAAAAAAACCCAGTAAATTCACCCCAAATCAAAATATCTTTGACATAAACTCTGCAGACCCCTCACAGAAATGCTTCGCACGTGGCTTCCTGGTGGGGCTGGTGTGTTGTTGTGAGATGCGTTGTTTGCACTGGGACTCACAGCAACTTGATGGCTGACCTGACGAAAGGAAGCCAAGCCCTGTGCCACCTTCCTGATTATTAGTAAATCTGAGTGCGCTGCTGGGGCTGCACTTAACATGCAGTGACCTTCACGTAGCATGATTTCCAGTTGTCATTTAGCAAGGTTCATGATGGGAGACTGTGTATGGCATTACACGAACGTGTCACATAATGCCACTCTCCGATGACATCCAAGTGTTGAAACCTCCCTTCCCCCTTTATTTTACGTCACTCTCTTTTTACCCAGGAGTTGTGTGGCTGTGTGCCGTCGAGTCAGAAGCGACCCATCGCCGACCCTCCAGTGGGTTTTCAGGGGCATTTAATCACATGGGAGATCGCCCATCGGTCTCCCACGGAGCAGCTGGTGGATTTGAAATCACATACCCTTGGGATTACAGTGCAGTTTCTTACCACTAGGCCACCAGCAGTCCTGTCATAAATTGCTGTAAGGATTTGGCTAACAATTCTGGGGGGGAAATGTCATTTTAAGGAACTTGATGCATGTATTATTTTGTTTGCTTTCTCAGAGGTAGATGACCCCAAAATAAGGTCCAAACTTTGGTTCCTTCAATTTCCTTAAAAGAGAATAGCCTTACATGAAGAGGAGAGCTAGCTAGTACAGAGTAACAACTACTGTCCGTTTTCTAAAAAAAGAAAAAGGGAAAAAAAAATCTTTGCTAATGCATGTGTCTGTGCATATGTAATAACACCCTATAAAAATCCACCACACAACAGGCCACTCGGCCTCTGGCTACAAGTTATGGTTCAATGTTTACCTCATCCTGTAATCCAACTCTTGACTTAAGGAAAGGAAGAAAAGGCCCCAAAACGGTGAATTACTCGAGTACCTTAGCAAGTTAGCATGGCTGGTCATTTTTCTGTGGACACACACATACACACGCTACTGCGTTTACTTCTGCTTTGCCTACGAAATGCTATTAGCTCATACAATCAAAGAAGAAGTCGTCTACAGATTCTCATTCGTCATACAACTGCCAGAAGTAGGAATATAGCCATCCTTCAAAGGAGAGAAAGGCTTCAACTTCCTCTCCATTAGTGAGGTGACACGGGGCAGCTCCCTGCAGCCTCCACAAGCAGCAAGGACGGAGACAGAAGGCAGGGTGGCAGGGTGGCAGGGTGAAGGGCGGAGGCACAGCTGACCAAACCCGAACTGGAATTTCTGGCTATGCCAAAGATATTTCCACGGCAGTGAAGGCTTTTACATGAAGTTCAGCTTGAGCTATTAGACCATCCAGACCTGGCTGGAAGGAGAATTAGGGGTGAAGGCACCAGGTGCCAAAGCATGCCCTTTACCCAAGAGTATGAGCGTCTCCCGCAGCATAAAGAAAAGACATGAACAGAGTCTTGCCTAAACTACTGAACTAGAAACTTAGATGACTTTACCAGGTGATAGTCACTATATAAACATCAAAATATTTAGGTTTCATGTTTAATAGTAGTAATAGCTATTTTATTCCTTTCCATAAAATTACACATAATTCTGAAGAAGGCTCTTTTTTTTAAACCTAAGGTAGTTTTTAAAAAATACCCATTATTTTTAATATTCACTTATAGACATTATTCTGAAAATTACTAGAGCTAGCTGCATATATTAACATTAAATAACACAAAAATAAACAATACATTATGTATTCCAAAATAGCCCATTTAAAGCTATATATGTGAAAAATGTGAGTTTTCAAGAATAGACTAGACCTTCTAAAGGTACTTTTCATTAAACTATATTAAATGCATTTTCTTTTCTATGTGTGCCAAATATATACACACTACTCTTTGTAATTTATGTCAGAACTCTTCAGTACAACACAACGCTCCATTTGACTGTTTTCACATATTCTAAAATGCAAGCAGGCCCTGGGGGACCAACAAGACTCATTCCTGAGTGTGTCTTTAAGTCAAATTTGAAGCTAAATCAGAATGAGTGGTCTATAAATTGGATCGCCATAACCCAGGGACATACTCTAAAATAAAATTTTTTAAAAATGTATCTTAAATCTAAATACAGTGTTCCCAGAAGATCTCCCAAAGGAGAGAGCTTACCAAAAAGCAGAAACATGTGCAAATACCCAGTGCATGCAATGTCATATTTCTAATAATAGTGGTGGAAGGTAACTTTCAAGTATTGTCATAATCCAACTTGTGGATAGCTAGCTCATAACACGAACACTCCAGAGAAAGAAGAATGCTGAGAAACTTCACCTTGCTAGCGAGCCTTTGTCAAAACTCCTGTAGGAAAGGAAACAAGCCATTCGTAGAGAAAGGAGGTCATTTGGACCCAGCATTGACCTTAAAGTGCATGCAATTAACACTGCTCTGGACCCAAAGTAAATTCTAACAAATTTAGAATAAAATCATATTTTCTTAACTCATTCACAGCTGGAAAAATTTCTCCTACACTTGAGCTTAGCAAAAAGGCTGGAAAGCAATAGAATTCCTTCAGAAGGGGGAAAAAGTGTCAAATCAAACCAGGACCCGAGGCTGTTTCCAGCTGTTTCTTCTTTCTGTATCTAGGACGATTAGTTTGACTACAACAACCTTAACAAGCAGGCTGGCCCACTTTGGGAACAAGGTTCAGATGTTTTGCACTTAAGTCAAACATATTCATGAAAAACAAAACACAATTCCCATAAAGTGGGCAGGGGACTGAGATTTCTTAAGTCACAAGTAATGAGGAAATCAGAGAACTAAAAAGTGCATGTTTTCCTAAAGCAGGTGCGGGAGGGACCCAGAGGGGCTCAAGCCTTGTAGAAGCTGGACTCCTTTACAGGTTTTGATCTAGCCATTTGATATAGCTATTCCTAGTCCGAATCCCCACTGAGAAGTTGGTGGGCCAGCTGGTGAAAATCATGCAGCCGTGGAAGCCGTCCTCAAAGTGGTCGAGGGTCACCTCCACACCTGCGTTCTCCAGACGCTTGGCGTACATGATCCCATCGTCTCTCAGGACGTCATGTTCACAGGTGAGGATATAGGTCTTGGGAAGGTGCTGGAGGACTTCGTGGGCTGCAAGGAGCGGGGCAGAACGGACATCAAGCAACTGCGGAAGCTCTCGGATGATCCTGGCATCGCCCGTGGGGGGCCAGACTGGCTTGTAGTCCTTCGTCATGGACGCAGGCAGGAGGGCGGTCCAGTTGAGAAGGGCCCGCAGGGAAGCGGCCTCTTGCACATCAAGGGAAGTGTGATTGTTGACCATCATTGCCTGCACAAAGTCACAGTTGCCTTTAAAGTAATACACCCAATACTTGACCATGACAGACTGAGGCAGGATCGGGGTGTTAGCATTCTGCTGATAGGAGGGGGTATTAAAATCTAAAGCTTGTAGCACGGGATAAATTAAAGCTTGCAGTTTGATCTTGTTTCTTAGGTTGACATCTTGACTAAACTAAAAAAAGAGAAAGCAAACAGTTATTCCACTTACATGAGTGCATTTACCAAAATCACACCTTATATCGGTTACTGTGAACCAGTCAAAGGTTTACATTTTAAGTTTTCAGTGTTGTTGTTGTTATATGCCGTCGAGTCGCTTGCGACTCATAGCGACCCTATGTACAACAGACCTAAACTCCACTCTGTCCTGTGCCAATCGCATTGTCTCCAACACTCCCATCCCAATTATCCCAGTCACTGAATCAATCCACCTCATAGAGGGTCTTCCCCTCCTGCGCTGTCCCTCCACCCTCCCAAGCATGATGTCCCTCTCCAAGGACTGGTCTCTCCTTACAACATGTCCAAAGTATGTTAGATGGGGCCTCAGAATCCTTGCCTCCAAGGACCTGCCCGGTTTGACCCTTTCCAGGATGAATCTGTTTGTTTTCCTAGCAGTCCATGGCAAGGAATTTAATAATATAATTTAAAAGTAATTTCATTCTTCCCACTACGATGACCAGATCAAGTAGCTAGGTATTAAGGAAGAAAACCATGCTTGCACTTAAAGTTCTGAGTGATCCTTTCTGGGGAACATGATCTCTTAGCATAAAGAATAGTGCTGCCACTCCAAAGGTAGGTAGTTCAAATCCACTCACTGCTCCTAAAGAGAAAAATGGAAAATCCCCTCTGATGCGATTTACTGAAAACCCACTGAAGTGTCAGCGATGAACGGGTTTTAACTAGGCAGTACCTAACACCACCACCATTAACTCATATAGAACTCTCTGGTGGCTTCATGGTAAGGAGTTGCTCTGCCATCTCAAACACACAGGGTTCAAATCCACCAACTGCTCTTAAGAAAGAAAGATGGGCAGTCTCTTCCTGTGTAATTTACTGCCTCTGAAAACTCACTGCAGGGTCAGCTATGAGTTGCTTATGACTCAAAGGCACATAACAATAACATTAACTCATTACTTACACCTATCTTAAGGCACTTGGCCCACACTGGTGGATATTATGAAAGGATATTGTTGGTGGTGTGTACCACAGAGTCAGAACCGATCCACAGCTGACCCTCCAGTGGGTTTTCAGAGGCAGTTAATCGCATGAGAGGAGACTGCCCATCCTTCTCCCACAGAGCAGCTGATGGCTTCCAACACTGTGCCTTTAGAATTGCAGGGCAGCTTCTTGCCACTAGGCCACTAGGCCACCAGAGCTCCCTATGGAAGGATATGACAATCCTAATTCAGTTTTATAGCCTGTGGCTTCTTATTAAGAAAAATCTAGCATGGTTCTTCCAGAAGAGAAGGGTAAGAAAAGCTACATGAACGGATGAGAGGATTTCAAAGGTGCTTTAGTTGATCTGAGGGTATTTCCTCTGACAAGCAGGCTTGGGGAGAGGGTGAGAATTTAATCAGTGATGGCAGTGTTCTTCCATTCCACTTACACACGCCTCAGGACCAGGCTGAAACAGGAAAGTCCATTCTCCACTTCAGCCCACCTCATTCTCCCCTCTGTGGTCTGTGTGACTACACAGTCTCCTTCTGTAACCCTAGTGCCTAAAACTATATATTTATCATGCAACATCTAAATCTAACCAGATCACTGTATTTCCTTGGCAACTAACTTATTTTATAGTAACTTACTTTAGCTGTACACTCTGTTTCACATCTAAGACCTTAGAATCTCATCCCCAAGTCAAACACAACAGGTATGTAAAAGCATGACTCAATTCCAACAACTCATGCCATGGAGTCGGAAATGACTCAGCGGAACCTCCAACAGGTTTTCAGTGGCTGTAAACCATAAAGGAGACGGAGCAGCTCGTGGATTCAAACTGCCTGCCTTTGGGTTCACGGCACAACTCTTTATCCACTAGGCCAAGAGGAAATGATTAGTACTATGTGCCAAGATTTGTATGGGAACCATCTCATGAAGTGCTCTCTGCAGCTCTGCAATCAGATGACATCACTGAGATTCAGGGAAGTGATGAGACTTGTCCAAAGTCCTGGATTGAATTGCAGCTCTGTCTGGAGCTAAAGCCTTGATGCTCTCTCTGTGACTCCTGGGTTCCCTTCTTACCACATCTGGACACACGGATAGCAAACTTCCCAAAGTCAAAGAGAGAACAGAAATTATTTAACAAGAGCAAAAGAAGGAAAGAAATCAAGATCCATTACAAATAAAAAGGCACATGTTATTTGACTATAATAAAGAAATTGAAGATGAGGAGACATAAATACTATTTTTAAATCATTTAGCCCAACAGAGGAAGAAAATGGGCTTATCTTTGGGTTTACCAAGCTGCCAACGTGTGGGGCTCTGTGTGACACAGCGTGGAGGGAGCCGTGATGGTGATTCAAAGCACACGGGCACATTAGCTTGGACACAGTTTGCAATGATCATAATCACATAAACTTCAGATTAATTGGCAACATAGCTTCTAAGATAGAAAAACTATTTAATATTGTAGTTGATGATTGCTGTCAATTCGAGCATGACTCATACCAACTCTATGAACAAAAGACCTAAAGCCTTTCCATGACTGTCGTCATTTCACCAAGTTCATAGAGTTTCCAGAGGCATGTGGTTTAGGAAGTGGGTGCCACTCCTGCTTCCAAACCTGTTTTACAACTGGGAACTCCACCAAACACTGTCCACATGGGAAACCATTCTGGTATTTGATATCCCCATGGCACAAGGTTCAGCATCACAGCAAACCCAGGTTACTTCATACAGCACATTGACCAAGAGTGATTAACAAAGTGGAAGAATGTTCCTCCAGATATAACAGCACTAGTCTCATTTAGCAATGGTTAAGTGTTGAGTCGAATATGACTAAGTTTTGCACAAAAGACCTAACGTCTGTTCTACGACTATGACAGAACTCTGTTTTTCCTTTACTATCTCACATAAAATTATAAGGAACAGAGAGACAGAACTTAAAAAATATTCTGAGAAGCAACTTGATCTCAAAATTTGGCTCTAAGTTCTCAGAAAACAATTTTAGCAATTGAGACGTAAGCACAAAAATTTCTTTTGCAAGAGAAAAATAGAAAAGGAGCAAGCGATCCTCTAATTCCATGAACATCGCAAAGAAACAAGGAAGACGCCAACACTTCAATCGCTCCTGAATACTGACTGTACTCAAAGCCTTGACAATGTCCCAGAGATGAGTCTACTTCTATGACACATCTTCAGAAAGTTCCGGAGAGCTCTCCAAGTGCTACCCACGAACAGGGCCGCCTCGTAACCAGCTCTAGTGGCGCAGTGGGTAAGAAGTTATGCTCCCAACTCCGAGCCAGGTGGTTTTGCCCACGAGCGGCTCTGAGGGAGAAGCAATCTCCTCCTGTGTGATTTACACTCCCGAAGGGTCAGCTGTGAATCTGTTTGTGACTCCACCATCAGGAGTCTTCTTGGGAGCGACCAGCTCTCCCATGTAAGCCTTTACCATGTGGTTGTAGCTGACCCTCCAGCAGCCTTTCAGAGGCAGTAAATCACCCAGAAGGAGACTGCTCCCTCTCCTCCCTGCAGCAACGAGTGGATGTTAACTGCGTGCCTTTGGGCTGGCGGTGTAACTCCCTACAACTCAGCCATGGAATTCCCTTCATCACATGGCGGTGGGGAATATTTGAGATGCTGGATACCCTCATAAGTTCTTCTCAGCACAATCACCTGAAGGCAGAGACGGGTTTTACCTGTTGTACCAGGGCGGCAGCCAGATTCCCACCAGCACTGTCCCCCGAAACAGCAATTCTGCCTGGGTCAACTGAGTACTTCTGTAAGACCTCTGGTTGCAGGAAATGCTTCGTGGCACGGACAACATCGTGGATTTGTTCAGGAAAATACACTCTTGGAACAAGTCTGTATCTATGAAGACAAAAGTTGCATTTATTACAGGATTTCATCATGTCTTATTGGGTCTTTTTTTAAATGTTAAGGCGAAACGGATTCGTTCAAAGCCAGAAATAGGCTGTTAAAAATCAAACATACAAGTGTGTAATTTTTACTATTTACTCATTTGACTGCAAGTTTACAAATCATGCCGGGTTTTCATTCAATCATTCATATACATTTTGTTATATAACAATTATAATCTATTCATGGATTAATGAATCACAATGTCTGATCACCTTTTTAGGGAGCTCTGATGGCGTAGTTGGTAGGGAGTTGTGCTAATTCAAAGGCAGCACCTCTCTGGAAGTTCAAATCCACCAGCCGCTGCTTGGGAGAAGGGTGGGTAATATCCTCCCATGTGATGTAAAGCCTCTACAAACCCACAGCAAGGAAATGGTTCCCCTTGGGCAGTGTATAACAACACAGCCATTAGAGAGTAAAAGGACATCCCGGGAGAACAGAGAGGCCAAGTCACTGCTCCACACGGAACATCTCTGGCTGCACGACTCACTTCATTATCTAAGGTTTAATGTCCAACACCACAACACAAACAAATTATTTGTCATAATTTATTTGATAAATACAGAGTCAAACAGAAGGAAGAAATGCTGAAGTAAAAGATGACTAGAAGATTTCAAAGGGCAGCTTAAAAAGATAAAGTATTATAACAATGTGCAAAGAGCTGGAGTTAAACACACACACACAAAGGCAAGAACTTGCTAGAAATTTCTCAAAGTGAAAGAACTGAAGAGTGAGTTTAAGCCTCGTGCTACAAAACTGAAAGATTCTGTGGGTAAACTATTGAATGCTGTGGGAAGCATTAGAAGAAGTTACTGTACTAGAAAGAACTGGTGGACATGGAACCATTTCAGAAGGCAGCATATGACCAAGAAACAACAGGAAGGGAGCTCTGGGGGCCTAGTGGTGAGAAGCTGCACTGCAGTCTCGAAGCTGTGTGGTTCCAATCTACTAGATTCTCCTCTAGAGAAGGAGGGGCAGTCTCCTCCTGTGTCAATCGGATCCAATCAGATTCCACTTGAGGGTACACAACTTGGATCAGGCGCACCTTAGTCTCTAGACTGACATCTTTGCTTCTCAGTACTCTGGAGAGGTCCCTGACAGCAGATTTTCCCAGTGCAATTCAACTTTTGATTTCCTCACTGCTGGTTCCAAGAATGTTGATTTGTTAACAATCTTTATCTCTTCTCCATCCATCATGGTGCTGCCAATTGGCCCAGTGGTGAGAATCTTTGTCTTCTTAATGGTCAACTTCAATCCATATTGAATACCACATAGCAAATAAAATTAATTTTATAGTTTTGTTATTTTCTAAGTTTTGGTGGTCAATTAATCATCCAGGGTGTTTTTCTCTTGGGTTGATTGTCACTGTCTTAACAGAGTTTCCAAGGTTGAAAGACTCCCAAAAAGATGGATTAACATAATGGATGAATTCATAATGACTTTAGCAAGGGGTTTACCAGTATCTGAGATTGGGAGGATGGCGCAGGTTAGGGTGAGGTGCTGACGTGTTGTTCACAGGGTCACTATGAGTCAACTGGAAGGTACCTAACAACGTGATTTCCATTCATCAAAGGGTGCAAGGTGTAGGCTTTACACAACTTTGTCCACTAGGTGGGGTCATCACACAGAATTCCATTTACCCACAATTTTTATAGCAAGTCTTAGTATTAAATATAACTTCATTTTATAAAATAGTTATACTCATGGTGAATTCTTAGTTCTCTCTATGAATTAAAGTATCTTCACATCACACCTCAGGTTTTGAAGACAGATGCTTTTTAAAAAATTTATGTGCTAGAAGAGTGTTGAACATTCTGTGTGTGGACTTCGTGGAGAACAAACAGGTCTGTCCTGGAGACGGTGAAACCTGTTTGCTCCCTGGAGGCAAGGATTCTGAGGCTCTGTCTCACATATCTGAGACATGTGGCCAGCAGGGACCAGTCCTTAGAGAGGGACACATCATGGCTGGAAGGGGGGGCGTCAGCACAGGAAAGGAAAACCAGGATGAGATGGACTGATACAGTAACTAGGGCAATGGGACTGAGTCTGTCGGAGATGATGGGATTGGCACAGGACAGGGAAACTTTTAGAATTAATGCGTATAGAGTCGCTATGAGTCACCTAATAATGGCACATAATAACAACAACAACAACATACAATAGTCTCACATATCGTGATAGACTATTTTCCCCTCATTGCCAGGAGGCTGGAGCATATGCCCAGGTGCAGATCTGTGGTTGATACGTACCACTGAGTCGGAAGCAACTCATAAATGACCTCCCAGTGGGTTTTCAGAGGCGGTTAAAAAGGAAAAGAGAGACAGAGGATCGCAGTGCCTTTGATTGCCCATCTTTCTCCTTTGAAGCAGCGGGGACCAAACCCTGTACCTCTGGGCTGGCAGCACAATTCCTTCCCACTAAGCCACCAAGGCTTGTACACGTAGATGAATTCAATTGAGTTTTCAGATGCTGTTTCTAAAAATGTTTCAGTAGCTTCGAATCTAGGGAAGTAGGTAATCTAAAAGAACAGCTTCCTGCGCGAATCTTATCAACTTATAACCACTTTAGATTGCAGAGTATACATGCTTTAAAAAACCAGGCTGTGATGTCAAGAGGCTTCCGGGCACTGTGAAGGCGTATCCTGCCCCTCGCCGCCTCAGTGCTGAAGACGGGAACACTCTCCAGCTACAAGGACTGGAGGGAGAGATGCTCTTTTTGCAGACTGGAGAATGTAGTAAAACTTGGTATTTCTCAGGTCATTTGGTATCATCTGAGTTTTGAAAGTGGCTAGAAATTAATAAATATAATTATAGAAAAAAAATGCAACAATGAATGAATGGAAACCCAAAATCTCTGTAAATGTTTATGAAAATTAATAAAATATAATTATAGGGGAAAAAAAAGAAAGTGGCTAGAAATCCATGTGATATTTAGAATAAATGCTGTAGTATCTTGATGTTGTTGTTAGGTATGTAGTGTCTTGGGAGTTACAGAAAACTGAATCAGAAGGAAATGCCCAGATACGACAGCCAAACAAAGCTCACATTAATACACTTGTTATCTGCTGCTTGTATTCAAAGCTCTGCTCCCACAAAACACTCCAAGAGTGCTCTGCTCCGTGAGGGTTTTGTTTGCTTTCAGGTGGGGATTTTTCTTCGTTAAATGGCTGGTCTCTTGTGTTACAGTACCTGGTTTGAGTTTGCCCAATTCACGGGAGACAAAGAAGACACCGCAGAGGTGCCACTCCTGCCTTGATCGCTGCACATCCTTCCACCACAGTATCTAACAAAGATCCCCTGTGATTTATACGGTCTGAAGGCCTGGAAGTTGCCTCTAAGTTTCGAACGTGTAACTGCTCGAAGGCCTTTGAGATACATCTGGAAGTTGGACAGTGAATAAGGATAACAGAATAACAGTCGGATTGTGGTACTGAGAGGAGAGTACTGACTGTCCCATGGTCAGCCAAAGAGGAAATGAGTAACTGCCACCAGGGTCCTCCTGAATAGAAGCAGGGATGATCATGTTTTAAATATTTCGGCCATGATGTCAGGAGGGAGCAGTCCTTGGAAAAAGACATCAGCCAGAGAAAGGCAGAGAGTCAGAGAAAGAGAGAGAAGATATTCAAGGAGATGGACAGACCCCTCGGTTGTAACGATGGACTGAAGAGTAAGGGAGAGACAGTGAACAAGGAAGGCACAGGAAGGGGAGCTCTGGTGGCCTAGTGGTAAGGAGCTGCAACTACAATCCCAGAAGTGCATGGTTCGAATCCAACAGATGCTCTGCTGGGGAAGGAGGGACAATCTCCTCCTGTACCAGTCAGATCTGATTTGACGGTACACGCACACAAAAACAATAAAATAAAATTTAAAAAAAAAAGGAAGGCACAGGAGAGGCCAAAGTCAGATCTGTTCACAGGACAGCTCTGAATTGTAGACAACACAACCGCATGTAACAACAACAACACACCTTCTACTAAAACCCAAACCCATTACCATGAATCAAGTCCAACTCAGAGTGACCCTGCAGAACTGCCCAGAGGTTCCCAAGATGATAGAACTCTTTAGGAAAGCAGACTTCCCACAGATCTTCTCCTGGGAATTTCAGACCACCACCTCTGATGTTAGCAGCCAAGTGTTTAACCACTGCACCACCAAGGCTCCTTATCTTCTACTATGGGGGAAAAAGGAGTGTAAAGTCAAACATGAAGTGTAGGCAGCTCAGTGTTTATGATGCATGGTCTATGAAAGGACTGCATTCCTGTGGGGTGAGGCGCCTCGCCAAGCAGTCTACAGATGTGTTGCACTCAGATCGCCTAGAAAAGCTGTGAGCTTAAAGATGAGAATGAGACTTAGAGTAATGAGTAAAAAAATTAAAAATAAAGTTAAAAAAAAGATGAGAATGCGAGGCTTAGAGAGAACATATAATGTGCCTAGAATAGGTGACACATGTGATACATGGGAAAGCTGGAATCTGGGTTCACAAACTTTAAAATTCAGATTGATAGAAAATATGATCTATATACAAACAGGTATGAACTGCAACATCTAACTGTATGGATGGATAGATAGACACACACATACATACACATATACACACATATATACACGGCACATAACAACAACAAATATATATATATTTCGTATAGCCCTGGTGTACAAGTTGCGTGGTCACTTGTGGTTGCTGTGAGGCTGAACCCTGTGACATGGATGTGTCAAATGCGTTAATGGTTGGCTACCCAATGCGGAC